CTCCGACCCTGTGCTTTAGGGAGGAGTCTTTGGGTTTTTAATTTGTTCTGCTTTGCCTGAATCCTGCAGCCTCAGCTTTGTCCGACCGGACCCTCAGTTTTTGGGCGGAGGTGAGGTCGTCCCCCAACGTGTTCGCGGTCCACGGCCATTCTCTCCTCCAGGGAGAAAGCACAGTGTACATACTGCCGCCAGGCTCCTCCCTAGCTCTCCCAGCATCCCCAGGCTTCCCGCTGCTCTCATTATTTATAGGAATATTATCTCTGTGTTTCGCCGTGGTGTTGAATGGTTCAAAGCAGTTTAAAACCCAAATAAATATTTCTACTAAAAGCTGCGTCTGTCCTCTTTCCAAATAAGGAGCTGTATTACTATATGGGTACAAAAACAACCAAGACAGGGAAGATCGTTAGTCAAAGTAATTAGTGATCTACGTTAAATAATGAGGGTGGTGCAGTGGTCAGCACTGCGGCCTCACAGCGCTGGGGCCCTGGGTTCAGTTCCCAACCTGGAGTGCTGTCTGTGGGGAGTTTGCATGTTCCCCTGTGTCCGGATGTGTCTCCTCCCACAGTCACGCTGGTGGGTTGATTGGCTTCTGGGAACTCTGGCCCTGTGTCTGTGTGTGTCCCGTGATGGACTGGCGTTCTGTCCAGGGTGGACCCCGCCTTGCGCCCGTTGCTTGCTGGGATAGGCTCCAGCTGCCCCTGTGACCCTGAATTGTATGAAGTGGTTAGAAAATGGACAGATGATCGTCACTGCTTTGCTGCCTCTGAAAACCATCCTTTGCAAAGGGTAACACCCTGTTCCTGTCTTGGATTAACGATTAAAACTGAAGTACACACACCCTATACAGCACCAAGACATTTCCTCCCACAATCCCCTGTGACGTCACACAGCCTCCAGGAATTATGGGAATGATTATTAAGGGCTGTGAAACAGCAAAAGCAGGTTAATGTGTGTCCCCAGGGTTTCTGTTCTCAATGCCCTGCGGTCTTGGGCTCTCTGGGCTTTGCTCAGCCCACGTTCCCAGTTACACAGTCAGACTAATTAATGAGCTGCACTAACTAATTACAGCGCTCCTAACGAGGTTCTCAGATGCCTTAGAAGTGAGTGTTCCCTTAATTAAGGGAAGGCTTCCAGTCAGCAGCTGTGAGAAGCATTAAGAAGGCAGCAGAGGAACGAGAGCAGGTTTATTCCCTGCTGAAAAGAGAAGAGCAGAGACACAACGTTTCAGCTGTGGAGCCTCCTGCAGAGGTGAGTGTGGAGAAATCAGTGTTAATCAAGAGTGCCGGGTTCGAGGTGAGTACAGTGTTGAAGCCACGGGCAGGTGTCCGGTTTCCTTCCAGCAGTTTCCAGTCACTGGACAGGGACCTCTGTGAAGCCCTAGGCACGCACCTGCGGCGCGTGACACCGGGGCAGAGGGGGTTCATAAAAATCGGGGCGCCCAAGCCCTGCGCTGTAGGGTCACC